TGCAACACCTATTGGGTCAAGTGCAGAGATCTATGTGGAGGAAGTGCAGTTGTGTGAAGAAGCGGTAAAGCAGTTGCAAAACAGAGTAGATGATGTGCCTGTGGTAGATGATGTGCGTGTGGTAGTTTCAGAAACATATTCCAAGCATAAAGGTAGCAGATTTGCATTGGTAAATGTGGATGCTGTGGAGACAAACATGGTCGATGAGATGTTTTTATCAAATGTAGCAGCTTTAGCAGAACAACAAAAGGGACTTATAGGGGCAATGGAGGACATTTTTCCTAAAGCTGAGCATAGAATGTGTGCAAGACACATATATGCTAATTGGAAGAAAAAACACCCAAACCATGATCTTCAGAAAAGGTTTTGGAGATGTGCAAAATCACCAAACAAAGTGATTTTCAACTACAACAGGGCCAGGCTAGCACAATTTACTGTTGAGGGTGCAAAAGATATGATGAACACTGATCCAGTACATTGGAGTAGGGCATACATGAAGCTGGGGTCTAATTGTGATTCAGTTGATAACAACATGTGTGAATCTTTCAACAACTACATCCTGTTAGCTAGGTACCTTGCTATTGTCTCAATGCTTGAGTGGATCAGGTGCAAAATTATGGTGAGGGTACAAGAAAATAGAGGGAAGTCAGTTAACTGGAAAGGAACTATATGTCCCAACATTTTCAAAAAACTGAAGCAAAACATAAGGAGATCAGGTTTCTGCCATGTGCTGTGGAATGGGAAAGATGGATTTGAAGTGCAAGAGCATGAGAAATTCAAATTTACTGTTAACTTGCAGCTCTGGACTTGCTCGTGTAGATATTGGCAGCTGTCAGGTTTACCCTGCTGCCATGCCATTAGTGCTATCTATAAAACATGACAGAAAATTGATGATTATATTGCTCCTTGCTACTCCATAGAAGTGTACAACAAGATATATGATCATTGCTTACAACCTTTGGAGGGAGAGGAGAGTTGGCCTATTTCAACAAATCCAAAGCCACAACCACCTGGTCACATTAGCTTGCCTGGAAGGCCTAAAACAGAAAGAAGGAGAGAGGAAGGAGAAAAACCTAAGGGTACTAAGATGAGCAAAGTAGGTGGCAAGATCACTTGTAGTTCTTGCAAAAGGCAAGGACATAATAGATCAAGCTGTAAGAACAATGATGGAGCTAAACATCATGGAAATGCTCATTTGGTCAGAGAAGCTGCAAAACAAAAGAAGCAAGACAAAGAGGCTTTTGATGCTCTTCAGACACAGAAAGCTGTGCTTTAAAAGCAGGTTAAGATGACACTTGTTAGTACTAATGAAAAATTGGTTGCTTTTTGTTTCTACTAATGAAAACTTGGTTGCTTTTTTGTTTATACTAATGAAAAACTTGTTTGTAGGCTGCTGATATAAAAGGCAAGGCAATGGCTGTGCAACCTAGGCCAAAGAAGTTGGAAGTTAGAAGAAAACCAGGAACCCTAAGGATCAATGAACCTACATCTCAACAAAGCTCACAGCCAAGCTCTCAACAGAGCTCACAACCAAGCTCTCAACCTAGAGTTCCACAACATTGTGTGTTCAACCTTGCTGCATACAAGGAGGCACTAAATGCTAAGAAAGGGCCATCCATTTGATTACAAAATTTGTGATACTGTGCTAAATTTGTGCCACACTTGTCCTAAATTTCTGCTTCTGTTAATTTGAGGCACAATTTCTGCTACTATAATTTTTTGGATTAAAACAAAGAGGACAACAGAGTTGAAAACATTTATGCTTGAACATCTTCAGTACATTTGATCACTGCATTTGTTCAGTACTTAACTAGAAACTCTGACAGTGCATACATAACTGCATTTGTCCAGTACCTAACATACAAACTTAACATAGAAACTTAACTGCATTTCTCCAGTCCTGAGTACAAACTTAACTGCATTTCTCAGTGCATAATGAACTAGACACTGAACTAGAAACTTAACTTCTCTATCTTCACTTCTGCATGTCCTTCATCTTCTTGATGCGGTCGGAGTGGCGAATGCCGACGCGGATGTAAGTCTCCGCCTCGATTGGCATGCTCCTGTCGCCGAGCTGCGGGATCACCGGCGCCACCACGTACACGTCGTCGTCGGCAGGCGCCACCTCCCCCTCGCTGTCGTCCTCCACATCCACCACCACCTGCTCCTTCTCGCTGTCCTCCACATCCTGCTCCTGCTCGCTGTCCTCCAACACATCTTCACTGCACTCTCCGTCGCTGTCAGAGTGCACAATAACCTGCTTCACTGCAGCTGGTACAGCGACCACGACGCCGACGAGACCTTCAACTGGAGGTGGAGGGGGGCGACGGCGGGAGCAGTACTCGTACCACCTGGCACGCTGACGCGGATCTGGTGACTTCTCCGCCTCATTCATAGCCCAAAGGAAAACAGAGATAGCTGGAATGGGACGACCGTCGGGGAACATTGTCTTCTTCTCATCATCAGTTGCCACAACGATGAGGCCCCTAGCGTGGTCCACGCACATCTGCAAGCTCGGAAATCTGTTGCAGATCTCCTCCACATCGGCCCTTTTCTCTGAATCCCCCTTGCAGAACCTGCTCACAGTTTCCTCCCACCGATCTTGAGCACGACGAACATCTCTTGCAGTCTTCTTCTTGGGCGCCATCGCCGGCGTCGAGAAGCGATGGGAGTGGGTGGGCAAGAGGCGAAGGGAGTGGATGAGAATGGGGAACGGCGAGTGGATGAGAGTGGGTGGGCTAGTGCTGTCTGGGTGAGCGCTGGCCTTAAATGGGTGGCTGTCAAAGCGGTGGGTTCAGTTAACTTCAGACAACGCTTCAGAAAAATTCAGACAACCAAAAATTCAGTTAACTTCAGACACAAGTTCAGACTTTTGAAATTTTAAACTCAAGTACATTTGTTCACTCAAGCTTACATAGGTGGTTCACTAAGATACTACATCACATCTTCAAAGCCATGATAACAGCAGACACAATGCAGAAAAAGATGGCAAATTTGTACATCTTTTTGCTTCTCTGAAATTCCTTGGCAAGAACATCCATTTGTTGAGCATGCTGCGCTTTCAAATCCAGCACATAAACATCAGCATCACCAATGCTGCACTTGGCATCCATGAGAGCATGCTCCAGCTGTGATTTCTCGGTCTTGAGCTTCCTAACCTCTGTCTTCAGCCGATTCACAACATCTCGCAGGTCACCTAGTAGCGTACTGACAAACTTATCCAGGGGATCATCATGCCACTTGAAGTACCCACAGTCATATCCCTATTCAAAAAATTGTGCAATTTTGTCAAAAGAATCACGCAAAGACTATAACTTTGCTGCTCAACGAAACAACAAACAGAAACGGCGGGCACAGATCTAGTTACCAGAGATTGGCTGCAGTTGTAGTATCGACGACCGGGGTTGGCAATGCTCCACGAAATCCACCTCGGAGCCTTGACTTTGCAGTGGCACATCTTCTCAGGCGAGTACGCCATCGGTGGCTCCCGATATGGCACCGGCGACTGCCCTGAGAAGGCCATGGACCACGGCGACCGATGACTGCTTGACGAGCTAGCAGACGCCATGGACTGCGGCGAGCGAGGGGGCGGCGAGGGGGCGGCGAGGGGACGGCGAGGGGGCGGCGAGGGGACGGCGATGGGGCGGCGAGGGGACGGCGATGGGGCGGCGAGGGGGCGACAGAGTGCTTCGCGGCGAGGGAGCGGATTGCAATTAAAAATTGGGGAAAGTTGCATCTGCCAAGTCAGCACTGTCCAGTCAGCAAGGAGACTAGTCAAAACCACCTAAATCTGGTGCAAAACCACCATGGGGGAGAATTGATCCGGTTTTGGAGAGTTTAGGGGCTGATTGATCCGGTTTTAGACTTTGGGGGAAAATCGGTCCATCAGACAGGATTTGAGGGGAAAAACGATACTTTCCTCTTCACAAAATCCCCGCAAACGAAAAACACTACAAAAGCTCAAAAGAGCTGGCCCAACAGGAGCGAGAAGCCCAGCAAGGCCCATTTGCGTCGAGCGAACCCTGGACATCGAGGAGCGGTGGACCAGCCGCGCCACAGTATCTCCCCGGGGGGACGCGCCGCTCCACTCCAAGCTCCGGCGACCGCGCCGCCGGCGCCGCTGAATCATCTCTGCTCCCAGAGGTAAGCAGAGTAATATGACGGCCCACGCCCTCTTCTCCCCTCCCTCCTTAGTCCTTCCCCCCTCTCGCCTGCTGGCTTCCGCTCTTGCCGTTGCTGTTCTATTTAGCTTTCTGTCGACGTGTGTCCTTGTTGGCTAGGGAGCGGAGAGTGGGAATGAATGACATCTCGGGGCAGTGGCATGGCAGGCATCAAGCTTCTGTTGGGGGATTGGGAGTGGGACTGGCGCCGATCACACATCTTAAAATTATTTAAGTCTTCAGTACATGCTGAATGCTGCATTTTTCTTTAATTATTTCTATATACTCGCAGTATCTCCGTAAGGTTGTTTCTAGAAATTGCCGTATCCCTATATCCGTATCTACTACCCGGTATACTTTCATGAATTTTAGGTGGCTGCATTCATGAATGATAAATCAACCCAATTTTCAAACAGTGATTTTCTGAAAAGATGCATCAAACCATACTTGTTCTCCACGTGAGCGACCAGTCAGTAGCCAGGTTTGGAAGTATAGAGTAGGCTTGATTATTCACTGATTGGTCGCTCTTGTGGAGAACAATGGCTTGATGCATCTTTCCTAGAAAATCACCTCTGAAAATTAGGTTGTAGCCAACTAGCCACCTAAACTTCATCAAAGTATGCTTGCTAAATTGTAAACCTTGCTAATGTCTTGCAGTTTATCTAAATTACTTCGAGTCTCGTTCTCATCATAGAATCTGTACTTTATTTATGCAATTATTACAGGTTTCTTCTGTTATCCTGAGATCAGGCTGTATTCAATATTGTTTTCCCCCGCTCGCAGGCTGTGGTCCACCCAGTAGATTGTGAATTGCGATTCACGAGAGGCGCATTGACCACAATGGCTCTAACGCTTCTCCGAGGGATCAGAACACCAACCTTATTTAGAGCAAATTTCAGCCTGTTCTGTACCACTCAACACCGTCCACTAGCTCACTTCACAACTAGGGCGGAGAGTGTGCAGACTACTGAGCCCAAAGCAGTGCCCAAGTCAATTCAACAGGCTACTAAGGAGGCGGCGGAGCAGAAGACACAAGGTTTTGAATCCGTTATCGGCATTGAGACCCATGTCCAGCTCTCGACCATCACAAAGGCATTTTGCTCCTGCCCAAACAACTATGGCTCGCAGCCTAACAGCACTGTTTGCCCCACCTGCATGGGCCACCCTGGAACATTGCCGCTTCTGAATGCAAAGGTTGTTGAGTGTGCAGTGAAAATGGGCCTTGCTCTCAACTGCAAGATCTCCATGACATCCAAGTTTGATCGGAAGCAGTACTTCTACCCGGACCTACCCAAGGGGTACCAGATTTCGCAGTTTGACATTCCAATTGCTGAGAAGGGTTACCTTGATGTGGATATTCCAGTTGAGTTTGGTGGTGGTCACAGGCGATTTGGGGTCACGAGGGTTCATATGGAAGAAGATGCTGGCAAGCTGCTTCATTCTGAATCCGGAAGTTACTCTCAGGTTTTCCTTGTTATTCCTGGTTAACTACCTGTTTTCCATTAAAATTTTGTAGTCTTATCAACTTCTCATGCTATTCTGTTATGCTGCAAATATGGCTCTGGAATCATGGAAAAAGTTGACATCCACCACAGAGCAACAGTACATTTTCTAAACCATTGCATTCATAAATGCTAAAGATGAAGAGTCACAGAATTTATTTAAGACAAGTTTGACATCTTGTTATGAACTCAGAAGATAAAGTGATACAGGGGATTATGCTTCTTATGCATTTTTGCTACAGGGGGCATATACATAGAGGGTATCAGTATCACACTTATCTATAGTTATTATGTGGTCATTGGTTTACCCCTGCCTATCATACAGAATATAAGTACCAGCATCATATCCAACTGAGATTCAAATGCGGCACAACTTCATGGGGCAAGAACAGGTGAAGTGGTGAACTGCAATTAATATCAGATCAGCATCTTTATCTCTTTGTGGCTTTGATAAAAAAAACTAAAAGACTTTCTTCCTCAAACCTAATACAAGAAGATGAGGTTGGGGGCAACTTGTAATAATGTGCCAATACATCTGTGGTTATGTGAGAGTATTTCTGAACCATGTTATTGTGTACTTACACCCTCCAATCTGAACAGAATCAAAGATGGAGACAAGAACAAAGTTAACTCAGAATCAAACAATTATGTATTGGCTAATTGCACTAGTAACTACATGTTTCAAGTGGTTAATCTGTATCTCTATTCTGGTCGGCTAGGTTGACTTAAACAGAGCCGGTGTTCCTTTGCTTGAGATTGTCTCAGAGCCAGATATGAGGACAGGGATAGAGGCTGCTGAGTATGGTGCTGAGATGCAAAGGCTTGTTAGGTACCTGGGAGTGGGCAATGGTAACATGGATGAAGGTTCCCTTCGCTGTGATGTGAATGTTTCTGTTCGACCAATTGGACAATCAGAATTTGGTACAAAGGTAATGAACAAAACTTTAAAAGTTCCCAACTGATTGTTATTCTATATTCCATGTCCAGAACATCTGCATCACGGATATGTTCTGATGATTCATCAGTACACAAACTTATTCAGGACCTCATATTACTATTTTAGGCCATTAAGGCCTGATTAGTTCTGATAAATATATCAGTTTAAATGATGATTTCCCATTATATGATAGATTCTCCTGGATTTTCTTTCAGTACAGCATACAATATTGACATTGCATGTTCACATAAGGAAGTTATCTGGTTAGCCATTCAGTTGGTGCATGAAATATTTTTGAACTTTCAGAGGTTTGGTTCTCTGTGTAGAGGTTTGGACAAAAGTCCTTCATGTATGATTGTCAGTTGTGCTTGTGAAAATTGTAGATGTTTTCGTGTATCCTAGTTATTTTCTTTGCCTTCAGAAATATCAAGAAAAGTTACCAGAGTCATGGACTTCAGCAGTGTTAAGACCAATGGCACTGACCATGGAATCTTAGCAACAATGGACATTACAAAAGAACCATTTTCTGAGAGCAAGCAGTTCCTTAGATCATTAGTTGATGTATCATTGTAGTAAATGGAAAATAAATTAAAGTCCTCATTGTTTGTTCGCTGTTACTGCACATGGCAATGTGGCATGACATGCTTCTTCACTTCTAATTTCTGGCAGGTTGAAATAAAGAATATGAACTCATTTTCTGCAATAAGTAGGGCAATAGACTATGAGATCTCCCGGCAGATTCTTCTTCACAAAGGAAGCCAGGCTGATCAAATTGTACAAGAAACCCGTCTTTGGGATGAGTCCTCTCAGGTTGTTATCTCACATTTGTCGTTAGCTTGTGCTCACCTATTTAACTTTTCCTAGAGTTTCTAAATCCGTTTCTTTATCTACATTCTCAGAAAACTTTTACAATGCGAAAAAAGGAGGGACTCGCCGACTATAGATATTTTCCCGAGCCTGATCTTCCTGAAGTTGTTCTCACTAGTGAGTACATTGATGAAATTCGTAATTTGATGCCCGAGCTTCCTGAGGCAAAGCGTAGGCGCTATGAGAACATGGGACTCAGCATGCAAGATGTTATTTTCCTAGCTAATGACGATAAGGTAATCATCTTCAGTACTTCCATTTTCCCTTGTCATGGATGTGCATGCTTTGTGGAGGTGTATTTGGAAGTCCTATTTTATTCAATCAGGCTTGCTTGAGGTTCATATATTTTGTTGGATCACATGATCTCCTAATGTCTTGTGTTATACATTTAAAAGTTCCTCCAGTTTCTTGTCTCCTTTCCTGACAACCCATTTCTCTATTATTTACTGCAGCTTTGGCGATCTGATCTGTGTATGTTCATCCCAGGTTGCTCATTTCTTTGATTCCACACTCGAGCATGGCGCTGATGCAAAGCTAGCTGCCAACTGGATCATGGGTGATATTACTGCTTATCTGAAGGATGAAAAACTTTCTATTGATGAAAGTAAATTAACACCTCTGGAGCTTTCTGAAATGATTGCATACATAAAGAATGGAACTATCAGTGGGAAAATTGCCAAGGAGGTACATTGCTTAACTAAATTCTTTTTTTATCTACGCTGGTCAAAGCATGTTATATGCAGTCTCTTCATTTTAATTGTGCTACGCTGCTGCTGCACTAATTCTGGCATCCAGAACTTGATACTCGAAAGTTTCTTTTGTACTCCCTCTGTTTCTTTTTGTAGGGTCTATTTTGATTGGTTAAGACAAGGCTTAGCGCCAAAAAAAATACTCTGTTAATATGTTGTTTATGTGATACAAAAATCCTAATAGTAAGTACTAAAATACAAATCTAATGATATCAATTTTATGTTATATATACTAATGAAGTATTTGTTGGTCAAAGCCTTGTCCTGACCAATCAAAATATGCCCTACAAAAAGAAATGGCTGAAGATTTCCGTAGTAGGACACAGGATTACTATGGTAGAAATAAGTTTCAAATAGGAAAAGAGCAATTTCTGGTCTTTCCCCTGCTGCTTAGTACCAAGAGTGTTTGCAGGTTGCGCAAGAATGAACTTTAGTACTTCAGTTATTCTGACATATGTTGCATGCCTCGTGTTCTGTTACGAATATGCATTCTTCTCAGGCTTTGCCATTAGTCATGGCATTCTAAACTTCTAATACCTTCTTCCTGATTCTGCGTCTTGCAGATTGTGGTTGACCTCATTGCCAAAGGCGGAACTGTTAAGTCTGTGATAGAGGAGAAGGATCTGGTTCAGGTAAATGTGGTCACATTGGTTACTATTTGGACTCGTAGTAGTTTGAATGTTTAAAATATATAATTAATGCTGCGGCCCTGCCACCGGTTTCAAGTGTGTTGCCAACTTTTGGCTTGTAGCTTCCATCGAGGAACAACCAGACAACGAGTACCTTCTAAATGAAATTTAAAGCTGAAAATTGGCAAAAAGATTAGGTGCCCTTTTGATTTCATCAGTTTTTCTACACATTTTCTGATATGTTGTGATGAGATAATTAATGTTGTGCATGATGTAGCTGATGCTATGTCAGTGTTTTTAGTCTGTGCTTGGGTTTTCCAACTAACATTTACTACTGGGAAATGGCAGATTGCAGATCCAGCAGCAATTGAGGCCATGGTAGATCAAGTACTCGCTGACAATCCGAAGCAACTTGAGCAGTATCGGGCTGGGAAAACCAAGTTGCAGGGCTATTTTGCTGGCCAGGTTAGTTATTTTTGAGTGTGTAGCTGTGCTCCCCTTGGTTAACCTTAGTATATGTTTCCCCTTGGGTAGCCTTCGCATATGTTTCCGCACTCACGAGAGCTGACCATATTTTGGTTCCAGGTGATGAAAGCATCAAAGGGTAAAGCAAGCCCTGTTTTATTGAACAAAATCCTGGGGGAGAAGCTGAAGGGCAGCTGTTGAGGGTTTTTTCTTGGCGCATCAAGTGGTCCTTGATGACTGGAACATCGAACGAAAGCAAAACCCTGCAGCGGGAACTACAATTTTGGGCGAAAACATCTCCGATTCTGGTTTTTGTAGGCGTAGTTCTTGCTTTGAATTTGGGATGGATCTCGTTTCCCCCTCGTTTAGAGCCGGATTTTGTAAGAAAAAACAATCCAGCTCACATAACACTGTGTTTGAGCTGATAATAAGAATGGAGTAGTGTGCTGTACAGATGAATTATCTGCGTAGAGTTACATGTTACTATATCCCATTTTTCTATTTATTGTTTTACATCCTAGAACTTCAAATGTGAGCATCTACATTTTGGTTGTATGCAGCTGTAAACTTTTTTTTTTCATTTGGAATTTAGACCACTGCATCACCAATATTTCTTCACTGAAATAAGCTGACATTTGTGGCAACACCCTTCCAAAATTTTCAAACGCACGTCCGGTAGGACCGTAAGGTATATGTGAAGAAATGTACGTTTAAATTGGTGTTTCAATTTTATAGAAGAAGCAACCGTGGGCACACAGCGGAAAAATTGTACATTTTGCTTCAGTGATTCACAAAAAGGCTGATCACTTGCTTGTCAACACTTGAATGGCGTGAATTCTTGGTATGGAGGCAGTTACAGCATGCTAGTCAACTGCAGTGTGTTGCGAAAGAAACCTCCTTCCGGCGCCCTATGTTTCATGCACAATGGGCGACGCGCAACTAGCTGCGGCTTGTCGATGTACCACCACAACATTGATAACCTTTTTCCAACTTCCATTTGGTGGCCACCTAAAAAATTGTTGGTTAAACTATTGGGACATTCATATACAATGGAACGCGAAAGAAGCAGAGAAAACAACAATGCATATGCAATATCAAGAGTTAAACATTACGTTCATTCCTTGATGTATGGCACTGCATACCTCTATGTATAACTGAGCTAGTCAAATCTTATGGCACTGATGGCAAGCGCAGGAGCTAATTACATAAATCTCTATTAGTGCCTCCTCGCATCCAAATTATACTTTGAAACATGACATTCTCAGACACAAAAAGAAAGTGGATATAGCCAGTAACAGATCACTTAGGCATGATCTCATCACTTCCTTTCATAAATTTGAACTGCGGGAGGTCACTCTTGGGAAAGAGCTACTTATGAGAAATTGAAACTCTTGTTCCACTGGGGAGGCCTAAAGATGTGATCAATTTTTTTTCAAAGCATATGCTCTATTTACCAGCTCAACGAGTCTGAACATACTACAAACCCCTGCCACTACCTGATTTTGTTTGGACTTTGTTGAGGGGTCAACTATTTTTTAGAACACTAGTTGTGGTAGATAGATTCATCAAATATGTTCACTTTCTCTTTATTGAACACCTTACCACGGTGATGAAAGTTGCTGGAGTTTTCTCAGAGAATACCTTCAAAGTACATGGCCTTCTTTTTGGTATAGTCATTGATAGAGATAATATTGACGAACCACCTCTGCCAACACTCAAATCCTAGGGAGCCAAACTCCATTTCAGCACTTCATATCATCCAAAACAGATGGATAAACTGAAAGGGTGAACAGGTGCTTGGAGAATTACTTGAAGTGCATGGCCTTTGACAAACCCAAGAAATGGCATTCATGGTTGGCAACAACACAATTTTCCGTACTTCTCTGAAAATGACGCCTTTCCAAGCATTGTATGGGTTCCCACCTCCTATGGTAGGCGAATCTAACCTACCGGATTCTATCAATGACGATACCCCCACATTACTACAAAACATGCACCTAGCATCTCAAAACTATCAAGGACAACTTGTTGAGAGCTTAGGAGAGGATGAAATACTATGCTGACAAAAGCAGAAAAGAAAGGGACACACTTCCGTCGGCATTCACAGGAATTTGCAACTACATTCAAGGTTTTATGGCCCATTCAGAAAGGATGCCAATTACACCCAACCTTCCATGTCAGTGAACTCAAGAAACATATTGGACCATATGGTGTGCCTACACCCTCACCTCCCTCTAGAGGACGCTCAAGGGGCAATCAAGATGGAGTCAAGAGCAGTGGTTGACAGGGTAGTCAAGATGGAGCCACAAGCAGTGGTTAGGAAACTAATTCCTAGACCACAAGGAGATATAAGCATCTCTGCGGTGAGTGAGGTGGTTGGTTAGCTGGGTCAGTAGATCAGTAGAACATACAAAGCATTCACATACATTGCCTATCAAAATCTTACAGCTTCAAGTGAATGCCAGATGAAATTTGCACCTTCTGATGGGCAAGTAAACATGAAATCTTATCCTCAGAAAAATTCAGCAACAGGGATCACATCGATGCGCTCATCACTTGCTCTAGTTTAAAACAAGGCCCAAACTCAGGGGCTGCAAGTTAAGCTCCAAAAAATACAACCACCATCAATTTTACATGTGCTATTTACACAAGGGTATAGTACTTGTGTTTTGTACACTGCCTAGTTCGAAACTGATATCTTTATGAAGACGACAACGTGCAGTACCAAGATATAGAGAACAAAAGCGGACCTAAGAATCATGAGCCTTTTCTGGCCTTCTGTTCTAAAACCACCGGATTGGCCGGGTCTCCGGGCAGCTTTGGAGCCAGAATCTTCATCCCCGCTCAGAAGCCCTCCGCCGAACCGGTTCCGTGCTGCACCTGCTTCGCTGGAGCCGCTGTGAAGATTTCTCTGTATACTGTTCAACCTTTCCAGATCCTTTTCTTTGGCATGTATATCAGTGATGAGCCTTTCAGCTTGAGCCTAGGAAGTAGAAGACCAAAAGTATGTTCTAAGATATTAGGAGGGAAGAACCATGAGAAATTAACAAGATACTGCAGTTGGTAGACTGAAGAATATGAAGCTCACTTGTTTAGCTGTCAACTGTTCAATGAGGCTATGTAATTGTTTCTCCAGTACCTTCTCCCTCTGGGCTGCGGAGAGAGGACAACCGATTTGTACAAGACGATGTAACAGCAGGAATAATTTTTCGGTGGGTATAACTGGGCATCACTTCTTAAGAAAAAAGGAAACCCACTTAACTAGTTGTCTTTGGCACTACATCCTATGAGGATCTATTAGGTTATAATTAAAGTCTGTTCAGATTTTTATGGCTACATTAAATAACGGTGCTATCAAGTGTTTATTTTAAAACAGAGATATAAAATCCCAGTCATTTTATATATATAATCCCAGTCATTTTATATCCACAAATGGATCACCCACCATCACCACACTGAACAAAGCTCTTGACACTAACAGGTACGACCATCCTTTAAGCATCATGGTTTCAGATCCATGGACCTTGCAGACAGGTTAGCTGGTTGACCACCTCACAAAGTACAATGTCACGACTAAAAAATTTCTAGTCCAACAGAAAGAAATTTGGAACCCATCTCATCAAAATTGAACATTTTGATCACGCAAGTACATGTTTGCATAAGGCAATACTAAAACTATCTTTGTTGCACACAATTTGGTGTTTCTCAGTTAAAAAAAAAGGTGCTTCCACAGATACACATGTAGCTTTAGGTGTGTTGTTTACTCTTTACTAAAAGGCACTAGCTTAAGTAACACTTGATTTAAGCATTGTGTCGTTTTGCACAATCATACATTACTAGGGATAGGTTATAAAGTATGCAAGGTAACAGCTTCAACAATCTATGCTACCTATACTAGTGCAAGTAAAGATGAATAAAATAGAGCTAGTTAATATTCTCGGGGAAAGTACCAGGACTTGGATTTTTCAAAGATTCTTCTTCAACCGAGGACCATACTTTCTCCAATCTTTGTATCTTGTCTTCCAATAATTTCTGTGTAAGATGAAAAAGTCATTGACAGCCAAACATGCATTTTTTATCTACAAACAAGAGATGCTATAAATGTCATACCAACTCCCCCTTCTTCTCTTCCAAGTCTTTAGACTTGAGATTCATCAACGATTCAGCTTCTAGCAGAGCATTTCCAGTAGCTTCCGAAGCAGCCATTGATGCTTTATGTTGAGCAGCCTCTTGCTCCATGATAGCATTGTCAACCTTTGCCTTTAAATCCAGCTCTGCAATTTCCATTCCCTGCAAATATCATATTATATTACAGTGCTATCTGTTGTGCCAGCTCCTGCAAATTTTGGCTGAAACAGGGAAGATGCATTCAAGGAGAGCCTGTTCATGAACGTCCTGCTTGAGCATTATTGGTTGGGAAGTGGAGATAAGAATAATTAATTTGAGTTAGATTGGATTGCTAAGGATAAGGATAATGTTTCGAGCCGGGGCGCCGGCCGAAGATTGGGCCGGTCGCACCCGAGCCTTGCGATCCGTCTGGATCGTGCGTCGTACAGGCCACGAGCACTACTTCTCTGAATCTTTTTTTTCCTTCTCTTGCACTTCTTCTTCCTCACGATGTGGGGGTAGTTGGAACCGTTCTTTTCCTCCATCTCCGCACCCCACGCACAGGCATGATGCCCCCTTGCTGTTAGGGGAAGCCACGACGGGGCGGAGAAGACGGTGAGGGCCGGAGAAGTCGCCATGAGGGGAGTTGCAAGAGTTTTGCGCACGACGCTGTTAACCGACGATGTCTCACGAGTCACGACCAGCCATGGCGTCTGATAGCTGAGACGATGCTATAATCGTTCTTGAGAAAAGCTTCCACCGTTTAATTTGAAAGCTTCAACCGGTAGTATACAAAGCTTCAACTGGACAACTCTGTGACCGAAGAGCTACAACCGTTTATATGGAAAGTTTCAACTATAGTTTGAAAAAGTTCCAATCGAACCACCGTGAACTAAAAAAGCTACAATCATACTCTTATAATTGAAAGCGTCAACCGACGATCCTACAATGTTGGAAGCGACATACGGAGTTGATACAACCGCTGCGCGGCGATGCTGCAAACAGGTGGGCGACGGGCGCCGATGGACGCGGAAAAAAAGCTTCAACAATTGAAAAAAGTTTCAAACGGCTTAGGAAAAGCTTCAACCCGCGATGAAAAAAGCTTCAGTCGGCTTCAGGAAAAGCTTCAAGTCTGTAAAAAGCTACAACCGGCGTGGAAAAAAAGCTTCCATTACGTGAGAAAAAGCTTCAACCGGCGTTCTGATTTTTGCGCGAACGACGATGTTGAGGACTGCGGCCGGCAGCACGGTTGTGCGGCGACAGACGTGCTACGACAGCGGCGGCTAGGTGCTGCAACTAAGAGACGGCGGGCGTGCTAGAAGGCAGCGACGATTTGCTGCAGGGGCGACCCATCCTTGTTGGAACCGGGGAGGTTGGTGCTGCGAGGACGACCGCCGGCAACGAGGGCGGCAAGAGGGCGAGGACGGCCGACGAGGGCTGGCGTCTTGAAGGATCACGGCATGGACGCGGGTGACAGGCGCCATGGATTTTTCTTTGTCCTGTTTTCCTGAACGAAGCAGTTACAACAACGAAGATCGTGCGGCTACAACCATCCAGATCGTACGTGCGCGGTAGGACCGGCCGTAAGTTTCGGCCGGCGCACCGGCGCTTATCAGCGCCCTAAGGATAAAGCTCAAGACTTGGAGTTAGATTACACTGCTAGAGATAGAGTTTGAAGAAGATTAAATTGCCAAAGGTAAGTTCAAGTCTTAATGGATAAGTCAGAGTCATGCCTATAGGAAACGATTAACTCCCACCCATGTAAAGTGGTGGATCAAGGTTCACAACAAATATGATACAATAAAGGAAGATTGTTAAATGTCAAGAATTAGAGAGGGAGAAGAATTGCACCAGAGAGGCAAGGTTGAAGGCTCACTACTCCGGCATTCTTCTTTAATATCAAAAGAGTACCCACTAGTCATTTATACATAGGACGGCTCTTGATTTGAACCACATGTTGGATCCTAATTTAAATTGTCAGCCCTACTCTTTGAAATCCTATCTCTAAGATAGCAATTCTAACTATCTATTTTTTAAGAGAGAGCTGCTGCCTAGTTCGACACTACCATATGGTCCTTGGCCCATATCACCTACGAAAGAGACTACGGAAGGGACACGAAAAACAGAGAGAAAATGGCATAAGGGTAGAACAAGTACTTAAAAGGTGCAACCATATGACAATGTACCTTCAAATTACTCTGGAGCACAGCAGCCTCCATCTGCTTCTCCTGAATTTTCTGGCGGCAATCGGATATCGCCTTCTCATAGGCGGTATTTTCCTCTTGAATTTTCACCTCTCTATGCAGTGCCTACAAAAGGTGGTCAATTTACATTACAGATATACATTTAGGAACGCGAAATTTACAGAACCATCACATCGGTTCCACTGTGAGTGGGAAATCTTGACCATAGATGTCGAAAGTGATAAGAGCAGGTGATAGAAATGATCATATCACATTATCACTGTTATCAGCAGACCCACTCCGAAACTATGAAATAGAAAAGGAGTAGTCACAGCAAGTTTGGCTCAATCACATTCATAATGGAATTAACAGCTACAGATATCCACATACGGGTAGCACTTGTTAATCACGTACTCAAATGGGATGTGCTAGGATGCGCTATTCTCAAATCGAAGGCTATTCGCATAAAATCCATGTATGCAACATTGGATCTGCGCGGACGCCAGAAACTGGAGTGTGGAAGAAGGAAGGGCTACCTGCTCCTTGGTGGAGGAGTGGGCGTTGAGCTGGAGCGCGAGGGCGGCGGAGGAGGCGAGGGAGTGAGCGTGCAGGTGCGGCAGCCGCTGCGCGACGTTCGGCGGGGGCACGCGGGCGCGCAGGTCCTGGATCGCGCGCCGCAGCGACGACGCCCGCGCGTCCAGGTCGGCGGCGCGGAGCCGCTGCTCCGGGGTCATGGCCGCGGCGCGCTCGCGCTCGGCGGCGGCCTCGTCGTCGCTGTCGCCGGCGCCGCCGACCACGTCGGCCGCCCACGCCAGGATCCCCGCCATGGCTCCGCTCCTCCTCTGTTTTTTTTTTTTTTGACAGTTAGAGGGGGTTCCGGCGACGCGAAATCGGATGGATTGCTCCACGGAAATTGAAGTACTCCCTTCATTTTTCATACAAGCCACTATCAAAATTACAATTTGCAACTATACAAGACCACTAACATTAATCGAGATAAAATTAATAATGTTTGCCTCATATTAGCATCCGGGGACATTAATATCATTTGCGTGCAATGTTCAAGAAACCGTTACCTGGTAGCTGCTCGGTTAGTTTAGGAGTAGCGATTAATCAGTGAATCAGCCTATTAACTGAATTAATCAGTCGACTATTAATCGGTAGATTGAATAGAAACTTGCCAACATATATCTAAATTTTTTAATGTATTATTCCATATTCTCATGCTCCTAGGCCCCAGCTATATAGTATACCAAAATATGTTGCCATACACATATGAGAAGTATAGAGAGGAGGTAAAATTATTAATCATATCTATTACGGAGCGGCATGGGGCCGGATGGGGTTATGGGCCAAAATTTTGGGCTTTGTTTGCCCACCTGTTAATGGGTCAGCAGGGATTAATCAGCATGACAACTGATTAATTGGTCTAACTAACCAATTAATCGGCCTGACAAGTTAACGCGACGAATAAGTGTTATTCGATTCGGCCAAGCTATGAGTAGCGATTAACTGGCTCATTAACTGATTAATCGGGTGAATTCTTGAACAGTGTTTGCGTGCATGCGGGAGTGATAAGGTTGGCTTGCATTTCCAACATTAATCAACCAACGAGGAGTAAGAGGGTTATCTTGTTGTGCGTGGGAGAGAAAAACCACATTAATTAACACGACAAACAAGGTGACAACCTAGCTTGCAATATTGACTTAAACATTGCATTGATTTTTATGTTGGTACCTGTAATATGGGTTTGTGACCTTGTATACAAAAATGAAGGGAGTATATTTTGTGGACGCGGATTTGATGAACATGGGTGCGCGCACCTTTTATGAATAGTAAATTCAAAAAAATTCTAGAAAAAGTCAACCGGTATGAATAGTATATTTTATGGACGCGGATTTGGTGAACATGAGTGCGCATGCACCTTTTATGAATTTATTTTTTAAGTATACATAGTCAACCGGTATACTCGCATATGATGTTTCACGAAGAAATCACATCCGTGGTAATCTAGGCAAAAGTGACAAAATCGAAGCTAATCGAAACTATCATCTTGATTTAATGGTATCTGGAGTATGCGTCGAGGAAGCACAATGAATCGTGTCCTACAGCCGCGTCAATGATTTGGTCAATGCGGGGCAGCGAGAAGGGGTCCTTAGGGAAGGCCTTGTTGAGGTCTTTGAAATCGACACAAAGGCGTCATGATCTGTCCTTCTTTGGCACCATGACCAGGTTTACTAGCCAGTCTGGGTGTTTGATCTCTCTGATGAACCCGGCTTCAAGTAGTTTGGCTAGCTCCTCCCCCATAGCTTGCCGCTTGGGTTCGAAAAATCACCGCAACGTTTGCTTGACTGGTTTGAACCCCTTTATTATGTTGAGGCTATGTTCGGCCAGTCCGCGTGGGAATCCTGGCATATCCGAAGGATGTCAGGCGAAGATGTCCCAATTCTCGCGCAAGAACGCACCCGATGCGGCGTCGACCGCCGGATCCAGCTGTGCTCCAATGGAGGCTGTCTTGTTGGGATCCGTCGGGTGAACTTGACATTTCACTCTTTCATCTGTTGGCTTGAAAGAAGTGGACTTGGACCTCTTATCGAGGATTACATCGTCCTTGTCCACCGTGGACCGCAGAGTGGTTAACTCCTTGGCCGCGAGGGCCTCAGGTAGTGCCTCGAGGGCCAAGAATGTGATTTTGTTTTCAGCGGGGAGTGCTATATCCATATCACTGGTGATGGTGATAACTCAGTTGGGCCCTGGCATTTTGAGCTTCATGTACCCGTAATGGGGTATTGCTTGAAAGCGTGCGAAGGCGTCTCACCCTAGCAGGGTGTGATATCCGTTGTTGAAAGGTGCCACATGGAAGAGTAACTCTTCGGACCTGTAGTTCTCCGGTGTGCCGAATACTACATCAAGTTTAATTTTCCCCGAGCATCGTGCTTCTCGACTGGGGATAATGCCTCAAAAGGTGCTGCTGCTTTGCTCGATGCAACTCTTGTCCATTTGCATTTTATTGAGTGTGTCCTCGTAGATGAGGTTCAGTCTGCTGCCACCGTCCATGAGCACCTTGGTGGCCGAAATCTATCCACGATCGGGTTTAAGACCAAAGCGGCTGGTGCTCGGACTGATCGGCCCTTGGTTCGTCATTGGCAGTAAAAGTTACACCGTATCATTCCAAGGATTCATTGCAGCTACTTGGTTGACTTCGGCGAGATCGCGGAGTGCCCTTTTGCGCCGGTTATTTGAAGAAAAGGTCTCGTAGACCATAAAGATGTTGAGATCGTCATCCTATGAGGCGTATTTCTCAGAGGTAGTGTTGGTGAGGATGGCCTCGCCGCTCTTAGCCACCTGTCGGAGTACCCAACATGCTCGAAGGCTATGTGTTGGTTCGTTATTTGGCGTACTATGTATCTGATAGGGCTTATCGAGTAGTTAATCAAGGACAGTTCTATGTCCCGTAAAGGGCTTTATTTTCTTGTCCATAGGATGATGATTGGGTGCTCCGTGAGGGATGCATCCTTTTTACTCGTCCAGTGGGTGGCTTAAAGGCAGGCAGTTCCCACCGGGCTGTCTGGGCTTTCCAGGCGCTTTCCATTGTGCGATACTTCTGTACTATGTGTCCCAAATCTGTGAAGTGCAGTATGCGGCGGCGGTTAAGGGCATTGAGGATTCCCTCGTCCATACAATTTCGGCAAAAAACTTAAACCGCGTCGTCGCTGCAACAATCTTTAATCTTGTTTTTAACAAGGAGAAATCTGGCCCTGAAGTGATGGACCGTTTCCTAATGCTGCTGCCGCACATACATTAGGTCGCATACGTCTGGAGGACCTGAATTACTTGGGGAATATTGCTTGTGGTGGGTGGGCGGGCTAAAATCCGAACCCTGGCCCGCTATTGCATCCGGAGTTTGAAGAATTTCCGAGGTCACCAGCCCAGGATCCAGAGCGTCCTGGTGACAGCCAGGCTCAACGTTAGACTCTATGTTCGGAGGACATGGGGTCTCTTCTCGAAGATGGGTATCTGGCTTGCATGGCTCGGAAATTCGGACATATCTTGTTCTCGGTTTAGGGGGAGAAATATCTGCGGCTTGTTCCTCCACAACTGCCACTAGATGGGTGATCGGCGGGGACTTGATTTCCCTCTAATCAGGTTTAAGCCCAATCTGATCATAGTCTGTTGCGACCCCCAGGGTGGCGATGCGATCTAGCAATTCGTTCAAGGACGAGACATCTGCCGGGTCCATCTTTTCGGAATATTTGGGGCCGATGCGGAGATGATGCTTGGCGATTTGAGGGGCCGCTTTTGGCTTAACGACCGAGCGGGCACCCATGGTAAAACCACTGAGCTGGAGGATCTGCCCGGGAGCTAGGGCCCCTCCAGAGGTGATTCTGTTATTGATGACAAGGCGAGGCATCGATCCTTCTATCGACGACACAAGGGAACTCTCAATGAAAGCACCAATGTTAGTGTCAAAACCGGCCGATCTCGGGTAGGGGTCCCGAACTGTGCGTCTGAGGATCAAAGGTAAGAGGAGACAAAGGGGACACGATGTTTACCCAGGTTCGGGCCCTCTTAATGGAGGTAAAACCCTACTTCCTGCTTGATTGACTTTGATGAGTATAGGGGTTACAAGAGTTGATCTACCTCGAGATCGTAATGGCTAAACCCTAGCTATCTAGCCTACATGAATTCAGATAGCCTCCACGGACTAAACCCTCCAATCTATATAGACACCGGAGGGGCCTAGGGTTGTACAAAATCAGTTTACAAAGAAAGGAAACTACTCATCCAGACGCCAAACTTGCCATCCACGCAAAGGAGAGTCCCATCCGGACACGGGGGAAGGCCTTCTACCTTGTATCTTCATGGCCCATCAGTCTGGCCCATATCACACAGCCCGGACACCCGAGGACCCTGTAATCCAGGACTCCCTCAACAACCTAGTTGGCTAAGTCCGTGAAGGGGAGTCTAGTGGAGGATTGCTCCGGCTTCCTTGCATTGAACGACAAGGCTTCAAGATTCTTCTCCTATGAGGCACATGGGTCGGACTGACGGCCCAGAGCAGAACCAACCTAGGGGTCCTTGGGCCGGCCTACTTGGGCTGGTAACCAACAAGGAGAGGCACCCCTGGGCCTTAACACCATCATAAGGTATTCAAAGGAGCTCTCAAGGTTGCTAGGATTGAGCGCCTCATTCTTGCTACTGTCTATAAGTATTATTTCTATAATTAAGTCTCTAGCTCAGCTCGTTCATTGCATGCATATATAATTACCCTCACTGTATTATGCATATTGAAGATCGTCGAATGCAAAAGAGGACAAATCTACGACATTGGGTTCATTAGCCCAAATACCATAAATGAATGGACGATACAAAATAGAGTTGAGGATACTGAGGAAAACTTGCTAAAAGCATTCCTTCGACATCAAAACAAAAGGGAAATACTCTTTCCTTACAACTTCAAGTGAGTGTTACTGTCTTGTGCATATTCGGTTTCGCTTATTTGAGGTTTAGTATTGCAATTGATGAGTTATGTGTGCGCAGGTTCCACTTTATTCTGATATCCATTAAGCTTGACGGGGGAGTAGTAATTGTCTTAGACTCAAGACGTAAAGAGCCTAAGGATTATGCGGACATGAGTGAAATGCTCCAAAAGTAAGTTCAATCATTATCGCACCATATCGTCAACTTTTGTTCATTTCCTGATATCAAGTAATTGTTTTCTTTGCCGGGCAGGGTTTGGAAAAAGTTCACCAGAATGGTTCCGGGTCTGAAGAAGGAGCTGCGATTTACACACCCCAAAGTAAGTATTAGTAGCTAGTTTCGCGCA